AAAAAACTCACCGCGTTCTCCACCACCAGCTTCCAGTCGCCGCGCGGAGACTCACCCCAAAACTGGACACTTGTCAAGTTCCAGTTGTTGAAGCCGCCATGGATGTCGTCATCGGGCCGTGGGTACATGATTAGCGAAAGGGTTTCTAGGTTTAAAAAAAAGTAATAAAGTTGCTAATCTTATAAACGGCACTCACCATGCGGCGACGTCAGGTAGGCCCTAATGTTTCCCCGTCGATTCGCGTTCACCGTCACTATGACCTGGACGTGCTCGAGGAAGCGAATGGGACAGCCGGCAAGGTCGTCATTGCTGAAACTGACTGTCGTTTTCTGCGTCCCAAAGGGCCCCATCACCGTCGTCATCGCTCCGGGTCCTCGCTTCTTCGGGCCAATGACGCAGACGACCTTCTCCGGTACGGTCACCCAGTGGAGAGCACTGCGGACCATGGCGTCGGCGACGAGCAGGCCAAAGCCGAACTGGCTGTTGTAGAGGAAACCGGCGGCATTTCGCTTCCNCGGTCACCCAGTGGAGAGCACTGCGGACCATGGCGTCGGCGACGAGCAGGCCAAAGCCGAACTGGCTGTTGTAGAGGAAACCGGCGGCATTTCGCTTCCACCCGCGGTTTTCCGCCAGCGGGCCAAACTCTGCCGTGCAGACGATCAGGTGCTGGACGTCGCGCCAGCTCAGGTTGGGACTAGTGGTAAATTAGAGGTTTTAAAAGAAATCTGACCAAAAGGAAAAAACCACCGCCGCCTACTTTGCCTCCAAAACGAGAGCGAGAATGCCAGAGGCGATGGGCGCCGCCGCCGACGTGCCCGAGTGCTCCATCGTGCAGGCGTTATGGATGTCCGTCGTCGGTATCTTCCGGTCCTGGTAGGCGCCGCTGCTGTAGGCGACAGCCAGCGTGCTGGCACACTTCTCGCCGTACCACGGAAACTGGCCCGACTCCGACACCGAGCCGATGGAGATGGTGTAGATGGAGCTGACGTAGCCGTCGCAGTTGCAGTTGTCTCCGCGAGAACCGCCGTTACCGGACGCCCACACGTAGAGGACGCCCCGGCCGCGGCGGCCAAAGGTGGTGCCGCGCTCCAGCGCCTCAGCAGCGAGCACCTTCGGCCCGTCCACCGTTTTTCCGTCTGATTGAAAAAAAGGAGTGAAAAAAGTTTTTTGTTTCGATTTCGTTTACAGTACAGTCACTACACTCCTACCGTCACTGGGTCCCCAGCTAGAGCTGTAGATGTCGATGTAGTCGTTCTTGAAGGAGAGCGCCCTCGCCTCGCTCAGGTCAGAGAGGTCGCCGTCGAGACAGCGAATGCCGCCGATGCGGGCGTTGAAAGCCACGCCTACGCCGCATTTCATGTTGTGCGGCGCCATGGCAATCTCGCCCGCACAGCGCGTCCCATGGGCGTTGCTGTCCTTCTGGTCGTACCGAGGTGCTGGAAGAAGGAGAGAAAGGGGCGGGGTAAGTTTGTGGGAGGGTTAAAAGTTTTGACCTGAAAGCAGGGCAAACCTACAGGGATCAAAGTCGTTGTCGTTCACGTCAAAGCTGGCATTGTGGTCCTGTGGGAGTGGTAAAGATAAAAAACCGCTTTTCTCTCCTCCCTCACTTTCACTTACATAGTTGGCCATCAGATCAGTGTGCCGCCACTCGACGCCGTCATCGAGGATGGCCACGGTGGTGCCGGCGCCCGTGAAGCCCATCTCCCAGACCTTGGTGATGCCGTGGTCCCACTTGGCCAGCTGCGACGTCGGACTGTTGTGAATGTACCACTGGTGGGGCCACAGTTCGTCGTTGTACCGCCCGAGCAGATTGTTCTTCGCCGGCGTCGTCTCAAAGCCTGGCCCAAACTTGGCCCTCCCCGCGCCGATCATTCCGCTGAAGAACTGCGTAAAGGGGTCGTTTCGCAGCACCTGTGTCTGCTGCTCTTCACTTTTCTCCTCCTCCTTCTT